TCTAGACGGTGCGATTCACTTTTCTACAAAAGTAAAAAAAAACCCTAACATCACTCCAAATTAAGCCTTCCTCGCGATCTTAGATTTATCTCCATCTGTTTTTTCCTTCAAAAATCCGTTTTCTCTAAACAATACTGTTATTCGTCTGATGTCTGGTAAGTTTCTTTTTTTTCCCATGTCTGATAAGTTTCTGTTTTATACGGTTAAATTTGAATTGTTACTTGTCTGATGCTTTTGCGATTTCATTTACAGACGACAATAATTCCCCAGATAACCGGCTTCCGACAAGGTTTTTTTGCCACGGACAGATACCCCATTTATTGTCTCGACGTCTACTCGAAACCAGATACACTCACCGTTTTAAGGAACCTCCTCCGGGATATTCCTGAACTCGACCAGATCTTAGACTCGAGTTTTGGTGGTCTTTTCAGGTTACTCGCCAAAACAGCACCAATTTCTTGCAAACTCATTCAGGCTCTCATAGTCAGGAAACTGGTGACCAAGCACAGTACGAGATGTGGATGGTCTTTGGTGGTCAGCCATTACGTTTCTCTCTTAACAATTTCCAGAGCATAACCGGTCTTAACTGTTCATTATTCGAAGAGGGTTACGAAACCCCATTGACAGAGGCAACCCTCAAAGAACCGGATTTGTACTGGAAGCGATGGATAGGTGATGATGTAAAATCAACATGCGCAGACATCGCTTCGAGATGATAAGGACATGCCCGACGATCGACGGATCCGTCTAGCTCTTCTTTTGATTGTTGATTACGTCCTTATTGCCAACCATCAGACTCACTCTCCCACACCTCGTTATGTGAAAATGGTCGACAATCTTGAAAATTTTCTCAAATTTCCATGGGGCAGAGAATCATTCATCAAAACGTTGTGGTCGATGAGGCCTCTCAACGTCATCAAGTCCAGCAAAAATAAGGAAGAGGGACCAGTTCAGCTATTTTGTAAACAACTTCAGCAAAAATCCATTAAATTGAATGGCTTCCCCCTGGTGTTTCAGCTACTTGCTTTCAGAGCTATCTCACTCTTGCTCAGTAAGTTACCGGATCTCCGATGCACCTCGAATTATTGATATAACCACCAAAGAGTTCCCCAACAACGCTGCTGTCACGCTTAATGATGTCCTTGATTCGGAAATCGATTGCAATGTAAGTTTAACCTCCTCCCCACATATGTAATCTTCTCTTTCAATGTATACTAACTCACATTCCTCTCTATTGTAGCTTGTTGTTAACCCAATGATTGATCCACCTCCAAGTGTTGACGACGGTTCCGGTGAGTGGGATGACGAGGTTCGTGATCGCAAGGTTGAGTGCATGCTTAAACTCATCAAACAGAACCATGTTTTCGTCAAACAAAACTGGCCCAGTGGGGACGCCTCCTGCCCTCTTATCGTGCATGAGCCTTTTCACACAAAAGGCAGCCACAAGAAATATATAATTAATCGCAGGAAAGGGAAAGCTACCACCAAACCAGTCGTCTGTGCTCTCTCTAGCCTAGATGTTTCCACTTCTAAACCCAAAGGATCTTCTGCTTTTGTAAAAAAGTTTATGTCCACCATGCCTGAAGCTCCTGCCGACCAACTTCGGTGGCTCGCTAAACAGGTGGCTCTAATCGCGTTTAAGGTCAATATCGCACAACCTGAATCGCATGGTACTAGTAAAAAGACTCGCTCTGCACCGAGGACCATTTCTTCCAAAGGCCGGGCAGCAAAACGCCGTCGGATGTGTGATAACACCGTATTTTGACCACTTTTATGGATCGTTTTGAAATACTTTTTATATGTTTTTAATTGCTTTTAAGTACTTTTATTACGTTTTTCTAGTATTTGTAGTTTCAAGACTCTTTTCAGGTAACTTAGGGAAAAGCTTAACAAAATGGATAGAAAACCAGATTTCAGCTCAGAGTCAGACCGTCAGAAGTTCACCCCTGATTGAAGGCCTTCTCACCGTCTGATCCAGCTCAAATTTGGAGACCTTAAAGATGGAGGTATCAGCTTTCCAGTGCACTTTACAGCTTGGCAATCCAACGGTTCAATCAAAAGATACGCGAAGAGCAAGATGTCCCGTAAACCAGCTGCCCAGCACTTCCACCCGCGGCCAACAAGCATTTTCCCGCGGTCAGGAGTATCCCGACCGCGGCAAATCACTCATCCACCGCGGTCACACTTGTCCCGACCGCGGCCTTCAACCTCCGAGCCCAAAAAGCCCATTTCTGAAGCCCACATTTGGAGAAACCCTAAGTGACGTCCAGAGAGGTTTTGAGCACTATAAATACATGTCTTAGGAGCCCTAGAAATCGTGTAACCTATCACCACCGAAATATTTACTTCATATTCTTATTGTTTTTGCTTTAGCTTTTAGGGAGAGAGAGATTTGTTCTCTTGAACCCTGGTTCTTTCTTTTTCAATTTCGGTTTCTATTCTACTTCTTAATATTATGTCTTTGATTTCGTTCATTATGTATGAGTAGTTTTATTGTTGGGATTAAGGGATTTTCGATGGGGATATATATGTTCGGTGAGGATTCCATTGGCTATTGAGCTGAATCTTAGAACTTTTTCTTCTGAATTCGTTTTTACTGCATGAGAGTAGCGTCATGAACTACAATCTGATCCAGATGCTTGGTGACACGAAAGTGTTCTTCAGGTATCAGATCTAGTTTGGGAGAGCAAAAAAAACATAGGAGTGGAAACCTACCTATGGGCGATTCGTGAATTAGGACGAGTCTTAAACATAATGCATCTCTTCTCTTCCAGGGCCAGAGTGGAAACCTACTGGTCAGGGTTGAGAGAGATATTTGTCTATGATCACGACAGTGGCGTATTCATACATCCGTGACTCCAGTTCGAAAAGTTTAAGCTAAGATCTTATCAATTTACTCTCTAGCAATGTTTTGAATCGTTCGTACCTCTGAGAAAACTTCCCTGAACCCCAACGCTTTCTTTTCCATTGTTTTACACCGATTTTCTTTAAAGCTTTAGTTCAATATTGTCTTTCCTTTTTAGTTCATTTTCATTTAAGCATTAGAATATCCGTTTTTATTATTTTTAGTCATTTTCGTTAACTTTAATTATTACGCCATTTAATTTCCGTATTCTCTTTTAAGATTTCGTTTTTAGATTTTAAACACACTACCAAACCCCCACTAAACCGTTTTTGTTCTAGACTTCCTTACTTTAACTTATTTCAAAGGCTTTTTGCAGGAAAAGATCCTCCTTCCCTGTGGATTCGATCCCTAAGTACTACAATCGATCAGCTGTGCACTTGCGGCTATTGATTTCAATTAGGGTAAAACTTGACACCCACACCACACCACCATCACCGTAGCATTCAGATACTTTTATAATGGATCTTTCATGTTTTACAGCATTTGGAACTTTTAATGGCCTCTCTCTCTGTTCGTCATGCTTCAACTTTTCAGGCTGAGCGATGCACTTTCACCACTCCATCCTTAGTTTCAACTTTGCAATCAAAATACCGCTCCTTCAGTAAGTCCATCAACAAGAATTTGTTTGTCTGGGATGATAAGGTCAAAAAAGTTGTTGCTACGGAAGGCCAGACTTGGTTTACGGACGTGGATTGCGTGTACACGCCCATGCTATGGGGCAACAACCACTGGGTCGGCCTGATGATTAGCTTGAAGCTCTGGTATGTCTACGTTCTTGATCCAAATCCCCGTCTCACAAACAAGGAGGATGCAACTCTTTTCATGGAGCCTGTCGTCTGCCAGCTACCATACATAGTCCAGAAGTTCTGCCGAGAAGACCAGTCTCAATCGCATGGCGTTGAACCTCTCAAATGGGGACGTATTAAAGGAAACTACAGAGTCTCGGCTTCAGGATTTACTGGACCGGTTGCAGTCAAGCTAATGGAAAGCCATTTACTTGGCGACGTTATAAAAGACAGCTTGGTCTTTACAGACGACACTATCATGTCCTGGAAGCGGGCTTACGCCATGGACCTTTACCAAGACTTTCAGCTTTAAGTTATTCGGCTACTTATAAATCAGCCTTCTCCTTTGTGTGAATCTATTTTCTCGTTTGCCTGTTCTTAAGACGTTGAACGTGTTTTATGAATTCACGTGTTATCCTTTGTCGCACGCATATTTGCTATTTTGAAAACCTACCATTCATCAATTATTATTTCTACCCTCAACTATTCCAAATTTTCTGGTGAGTGTGGTGCTGACCACACCACCTCCACATTTGGTAAATGCTTGCCATGGTAATCGTTAATTACAAGTCATTAGATAACTAGTCTGTCGTTTATGTCATAAAATGTGGAGGTTGGGATAACATGGTTATGCCATGCTAAGGTGGGGTTAACTAATCTGTCATTTATGTCAGTAGATAACAATTCTGTCGTTTATGCCATGGTAATCGTTAATTACAAGTTCAATGTTAATCGCGCTCTATGTTTTTGTGGACATGGTTGGGTTAACATGGTCAATAGTCGTGATAGTTAAAATATTACTTGTGGTAATGTCCACATACTCGCTACCATGCCTACCAGTTACTTTCTGGTGGGAATGTCCACAACATATTTCTGGTAGGGTTACCAGTTATTTTTCTAATTCAAGCAAACATTCCCATTTTTCTAATTCAAACACACATTACCGTGCCTGTTTATTTAACCATGGATACGTCCATATATATATAGGATCATATCCATTTACTTATGGGTGGATATCCATATATTTGATCAATTTGTCCATGGATACGTCCATATATTCGATCAATTTATCAACTTTTTCATATTATATACAGGCTCCTATCCATTTATTTATGAGTGGATGTCTCCATATATTATGTATCTGCTGGATTTTCATGTTCCCATGTGGTACCGTCTACCAAGAATACGTCCACTGTCATTTCACCATTATAACTAGAGACGTTTATCTTTCGCTGTTTGCTCACATACATCACCATTACCCATTTTGGTTTTTATCCCTATTATTTTTAGATTGGGAATTAGTTCTCGCTATGCCTTCTTTGCCGAATTTGAGCTCAGGCAGTTCAGGTGTTCCCGAAAATTATGATTTCGAATGGGGCCCTGAACCCAATAGAGGTATCCCAATAAGATGCTCCTGTGGGGGTCATTTGTTCCTTCAGTCATCGAACACGGATCTGAACTACGGCCGTCGCTTTTACAACTGTAACACTCCGCCGGTAAGTTTTATTACAACTCTATCAAAAGAATATATTGTATTACCTACACAATTATATATTTCTTGCAGGGTGGCGGCTGCGGTTTTTGCAAATGGTGGGATATTGCAATTACGGAGGAGATGAGCGAATTGAAAGATGAACTGGAAGAACATGAAGAAAGAATCAGATATATTTCCAACTACGAATACAATCTCCCTGTTGATTTTCTGGCAATGTGGACCAATATTGAAACTGCAATAGAAGACATTGACAAAATTAAACTTGAGCTTCGAACAATCCAGAGCGAGATCCAAACACTGCATGATGAACTGGCCAACTCTCTTACTATAGTAGCTCGTCGGCAGACGGTCATGAAAAATTGAAGGCTTTTGTTCTCACTACTTCTAGGAGGAATTATTCTACTCGTGGCTAGAGTGTCCATGTATTGAGATCCACAAATGTTTATTTTTTCACTTGTATCATTTTGTGTTTTTTTAGTAGATGTGTGTTCCTTCATGACCTTTCTAAGACTATCGTTAAGTTGTATAATTTGCTCCTCTCCTATTCTTCCAAAGTTCTCAATCACTGAGCTATTTCATAGATATTGCTAATTAAAATTGAGCGACTTGACATATTCGGCAATCATAACATATGTACCCTGATAAATTCTTTAAAAAAGTTTTATATATACCGTACACACTCCAATTACTTTCGAACGTGGATATATCCACCAGCATATGTTACATAGTCTAATTTTCCTTGGGCGGCCTGATTTATCTGTTGTCCATGGACATAATTTTGCCACCAAGCTATTGATGATATGTGCCATCTTTATATCATAAATAGTTGAGTTATGACAAATGAGGATTTATTCTGGTTCGTCGGTCACATTGTATTCGTCCATGGATATATCCAGTTTCGTTCATATTATTTATAATATAATGTGTCCGCACACACATCTTCTCGGAGGTGACGTCGACTGACACGCTACCCTTCGCGGTTTATATACTACACTTCCCCCTTCACAAAACATATCTATTATCTCACCATCTTCCTTTTTTATCATTTTGTTTTTTTTTTCCACTCATCTACTTTCAAAAATTCAAGGGGGAACCCCAACGATGAATCATACTCCCAAATACCTCTTTTCATCTCCTACTTGAAAGCTGCTAACCCCACCACTATCACTGAGCTTGAAACTCATACCGACGAAAATGGTTCTCAGCACTTCAAGCGCCTCTTTATATCTCATGGTGCATCCCAGGAAGGTTTTCATTTCCTTCGAAAACTGATGGTGGTCTCGGGTGCACATATCAGACGTTCGGATTCTGGCTTTCTCATTGTTGCCATCGGTCAATATGCCAACTTCCAGACCTACCCCCTAGCCTTTGCTGTAGTTGACCATCAGACCGAGGAGGCATGGAGGTGGTTTCTTCACCAGCTCGAACAGTGTTTTCCAGACAATAACAAGACAACCATTTTATCTGATGGCGGTGGAATGGCTGAAAGAGCTATCTCAGCATGCTTTCCTGAAGCCAGTCACGTTGACTGCCTACGTCGTCTTCAACTATCATTGAACCTGTACTTCCACGACAATGGAATTACCAACTTGGTGCGGGAGGCAGCTTGTGCTCACACGATTGGCGTTTTCCGGCGGGCATTCAACCGGGTTAATGAAACCAACCCTGACTGCGCTACCTATCTACAATCTATTGGCTTCCCTCGTTGGACGAGTTATTATCAAGCCGGCGACCGATACAACATCATGACTGCCAGCATTGCTCATGGATTCATCCATTTACTGCTCCCACAAACAACAGGCCCTATTATTAACCTCCTCAACTTTTACCACACAACTGTTATGCGCTGGCTCCAAACAAGACTCCGAGCATCAATGGATCACCCAGGCGTGATGTCTCCAGGTGTTCAAGGTTTCATGGATAAATTAGCTGTCAGTAAGTCGCAATGGCAGGTTCTGCATATTAGCTATGGAGCTTGTGAGGTTGTAAATTCAGTTGGCAAAATTCACTTTGTCAATCCTCTAAGGAGGTCATGTTCTTGCAAAGTTTTTAACAAACTCTGGATACCCTGTATCCACGCTCTGGTCGCATCCGATGCATTACGCATTTCAGCTGAGTCCTTAGTTCACACATGCTATACTTCTGTTGCCTGGTTTGAAACGTACATTCCTCAACTTTACCCTTGCCAGGAGCCTCTTCCAGCTGAAGCCACCGCCGACGGGGCAACTGAACTGCTACCACCGATTTCGAGCCCTTTGGTAGGGCGTCCCAGGCCTAAGACCCGCATGGTAACAATTAACTTTTAACGTTGTTTGACTAAATGTTCTTATCCACTGTGTAACGTGTTACATTTTTCTTAGTCCCAGTAACTGGATCTGCATCAACCTACTACAAGTTTCAAGCGAAGGATGGATAATGCTTTTTGGGGCCAACGTCGAATTTCCCTTTTGTTAGTCTTGTAATTTGCATTTTTTTTTTGTTGTCCTATTTCCCTCATCGGCTAAGTTGACCACCACTGGGTCTTTTTTGTATGTGATAATCCCAGCGTCTGTTCCTGGTTTTCTGCTTATTCCAGTTACGTAATCCTCACTTTCAATGAATTTCTTTCATATTACCGCAACAATTTTTATGACAAGTCTAAATGCTTTTTTTAAAAAAGTTTCTTATATATCACAACAATACTCAGTCTGAACTTAACAAATTTGCCATTATCCGTGGAAGTTTCCATTATTGAACTCTACCATTCACGATTCGACACTTCTCTTTTATGGTGAATAATCAGTCCACCTGTCACGCTGTAAGTGGATAATGTCCGGAGATATATATATTGTCCGTCGCTTTTCAAAACGTCCGACATGATTGAAGTACGTCAGAAACTACATCCAATCGCCGAAAACACCTTTATAAGCGTACCACAGGATAGTTAATTGTTACCATCCTTTTTTAATGCTAGTTCCCTTTTAACTAAATACACCTAACTAGCTTCCAAGACAACTAACTCACTGTTAGTCATCCACACATATACGTTTATGAGTTTAAGTTTTTGAGTTTTTCCCCAAACAAACTCACTGTTAGTCATCCACACATATACGTTTTCTGTTTGAAATTCCGTGGTTATAAACTCAAAGGTTCACACAAAATACATAACCACCATTTATTAACTACATGGTCATTTAGATGCACACACCAAAAGACAAGTTATTTGGGTCTAGTTCAAAAATCACATAGCCCAAGAAGCCTCGCGGAAAAAGTTCCTTTTTTGGGATGTTTGAACAACCTCATTTCTTACCTAAAATATATAAACGAGACCATCAACCTCATTTCTACCTCTTTCCCATATTTAAACATAACACTAAAGAATAATCACTCCTTTCATTCTTATTATTAGGTCGGCACCCAGGTTTGTTATTCTAAATAATCTAAATAGTCTCGTTCCCAATACGCATTAACTACATATTCTCACATTTACTCCTTACAATTTTAGCTCACATGGCCTCTACCTCGGACATTCAATGCGAATGTGCAGCCGGTGAATGGCGCTATAACTCCGACGGGAAATGGTCGTTTCTCGCTGATGCCTCGCTTATGTCTGGAGTTATTTCTTTACGTCAGGATATGACTATTCAGGAGCTTTATCAACTTGTCCGTGAAGAGTTCTTAGGTACGGCATCTGAAGAAACCATCGTTGAAGTCTCCTATTGGACACCGCCGCCTGAACTTAATAACTTGGTCCTTATTACACCTCCGGTTGTTATCCGGAGTTCTGGCGCTATTGTGTTTTTACTCAAACGGTTCAAAGAAAACACTTCAACTAGGCTTTTCGCCAAGTTTGGCATTTCTCAACCACCATACACGCCCTTGGAAACTGGAATCAGAAGCCCAGCACGTAAATAACTATGTATTCATGATGCCCCAACAGTTATTACCCCAACCCAACCCATACTATCGTTGGGTGCAAGTATTGCCTCATCCGGGTCCGCTGGATTTATCACTCCTCAAACCGAAGCTGGCCAGATAGAAGACGATCAACTGCTTCAGCATGCGCTTGAAATTGAACAATCTCTTACAAAAAGACCACCTATCCACCAAAGAAAATCCATGACAACACCGCTGATTAACCACACTCACGATGTCCCCAAATTTGACTTGTCCCTTCCTGAAGATGACGTTATGCAGTCCCCGTCTAACGCCGTCCAGCATGAAGATGACCACAGTTCAGATAGCGAATCAAATGAAGATGATGTACCAGACGATATCGAATTCGACGACGTCTTCCCGCATAGTTATGACCACGAATTCTGGGACCCTTTTCTTGAAAGTAGTTATGGTGGTTCCAACGCCCCTCAGTTTGTCTGCAATATGATATTATATGTCCACGAATTCCGGATGCGTCCGAGTCCATGCAACCTTTCACAATTGCGGAAACTACCTACCCTTCCACCGTGTCTACCTCACATGGTCAAGTGCCCTCTAGTCATATCCACAGGACCCTCTCGTCTTTATCAGAAGAAGACTTCGATATTCCTCCTTTATTTGATGACTCCACCTATGCTGCATCAGCTATCCCAGACCTGGATGGATCCACCGACGATGATAATCTTCATGTGGGCAAAAAATATGGAAGTAAAGTTGAATGTCAAATCGCTTTAGCTGTCTTTGCAATTAAGAAGATGTTTTGCTTTAGGCAGACAAATTCCAACCCAAGGACATTCATACTGGAATGTACCGACCCCAAATGCTGTTGGCGGATAAGAGCTGGGCGAATTGGTAAATCAGGCTATTTCGAGCTTAAGACGGTTAACCTAAACCACACATGCGCATTCGAGACCAAGCAGGCTTACACCAAAAAAACAACATCTAGAATTATCGCATCTGTTTTCAAATTAAAATACAGCGATCCAGCTAATGGACCAAAGGCGTCTGAAGTTCAGCAGCTAGTTTTACAAGAGCTCCGTGTATCAGCCTCATGGATGAAATGCTACCGAGCTAAAGGCCAAGATCTTGCTACTTTCCGTGGAAAGGACGAAGAATCTGATCTCCGCGTACCAGCTTATCTTCATATGATAAAGCTTTCAAATCCGAACACCGTTGCAGACTTAGAGACTGACATCGACAAAGATGGCTTGGTAAGATTTTGCTATGTCTTTGTTGGTTTCGGAGTGTCAATAGTTGGCTTCCGCAGGTTACAGCGTGTCTTGGTGGTCGATGGAACACATTTGTGGGGCACGTACAAAGGCGTTCTGCTTACAGCAAGTGGTCAGGATGGAAATTTTCAGGTTTTCCCTTTGGCATATGCTGTCGTGGACGCTGAAAACTGATGTAGCAACAGCTACGATAATGCAACGATCTTATTTAGTCTGAGAAAGCCTAAGAAACGATGCCTTCTTGATGTCGTTGAGAACGTTCTGTTCTAGCCGATAACAAGGGTAAGATAGAGTTTAAAAGCTCTGTTTTATAAATCAAAGAAGTCGTGTCTCACATAGGTTGAGCATCGACCATATATATAGGTAAAAGCTAGAAGAAAACCTATTCCTAAAAGGAATCCATATACTTGAAAGAAATGGAAAACTAACAAGAGAAATGTTTATCTAAGAAAAGGAAAATAGATAAATAAAAAGAATAAACGAAGTAGAAGCACGCTGCATCAGGTCACCCGGGGTAGAGAAAGATTAATCCCTGAATCTTCAACATCATCTTGCGCTTCAAATGGAACAAGGTGTTTAACATTGAAGATGTCGGAAGTACGAACACCAGGAGGAAGCTTGACACGGTATGCATTTGCATTGATCTTCTCGGCTATCTCTAATGGTCCAAGCTTGCGAGCTTTAAGCTTGTTGTACTCACATGCTGGAAATCTGTCTTTTGTCAAAACGGCCCAAACAAATTCTCCCACAGATAATTGTACATCTCGTCGATGCCTATCAACTGCAGCTTTGTACTTTGCTGAAGAAACCTGTAAGTTATCGTGAACTTGGGCATGAATGGAAGAGAGAGAACCAACAAAATCAACTGCATCTCCATGTTCGCGGACCAGATCAGGGGCATTGTTAAGATCAAGAGGACCACGAGGGACAAGACCATAAACAACACGGAATGGTGAAAAATGAGTACTCCTGTTCACGACATGGTTGTAAGCGAACTCAGCTTGACCCAAAACTGCATCCCAAGACCTGATATTATCGCCCACCAAACAGCGAAGCATGTTTCCTAAAGAACGATTGGTAACCTCTGTTTGGCCATCTGATTGGGGGTGATAAGCAGAACTCATGTCAAGGCTAGTACGCAGAAGTTTCCAAAGAGACCGCCAAAAGTGACTCAAAAAGCAAGAGTCTCTATCGGAGACAATAGACAAGGGTAAACCGTGAAGACAGTAAATCTCGCGGAAAAATAGCTGAGCAACTTGCAAGGCGTCAGTGGTCTTCTTGCAGGGAACAAAATGAGCCATCTTGGAAAAACGATCAACCACAACAAAGATGGAGTCAAATCCACGTTCGGTACGCGGAAGTCCTAAAATAAAATCCATGCTGATGTCCGTCCAAAGTTGAGTGGGAATTGGCAAAGGTAAATAGAGTCCACCATTTGTCGAATGACCTTTGTTGAGCTGACAAACAGTACAACGCTCAACAAATCGAGAAACATCGCGTCGAACAGTAGGCCAAAAGTAAGACTCGGTAACCAACTGCAGAGTTTGATCACGGCCCATATGGCCTTCCCCATGAAATTCTTTGATGATTTGCGCCCGCCAACTACAATCAGGCACACATAGGCGCGTATCGCGGAAGATAAAACCATCTTGAAGCACATAATCAGAAAGATGGCCATCCTGTAAAGTAGACCAAATCCTGCTGAAAAAAAGGATCAAGAGAATATAACTCCGAAAACGTCACAAAGCCTGGAACCGAAGCCTGCAGGGTTGTTAAGAGAGAGTGACGACGACTAAGAGCATCCGCCACTTTGTTTGTTTGTATAGACTGATGTTTCATCACGAAAGTAAACTGCTGCGAAAACGCTATCCAGGCGGCATGCCTCGCAGAGATCTTATCTTGGCTACTTAAATGCTTCAAGGCATCATGATCTGTATAAAGAATGAACTCTTGATGAAAAAGGTAATGACGCCAATGCTTGATTGCTTGAACAATGGCATAAAATTCAACGCCGTAAGTGCTGTAACGAGCTCTTGAGCCGGCAATTTTCTCGCTGTAGAAAGCAACAGGTCGGCCCACTTGGCTTAAAACAGCACCAATACCATACTTACAGGCATCACAATGCAACTCGAACGGCAAAGAAAAGTCAGGAAGAGCGAGGATAGGAGCCGAAATCAGCTTCTGTTTGATCGCCTCAAAGGCTGCGTCTGCCTCCGGAGTCCAAA